AAAGAAAACTTCCTTGAGCCAACCTGATTTCCTCCTGTTCTTAATTGACTAAACCAGGATGCTAGCAAGATTGGATTGTTAGAAGGATTTTTTTGTGTGTGTGGTGATAAAAAGAAGTAGATTGGACAAACCTTGTCATCATTTTTACCTGTGCCATGAACACAGAGTCCCCCCGTTTTGATCACTGATATGCCTGAAATATGTTAGCCATCATTTTCCTGGCCAGGAGAACGAGGCAGAAGCATCTGTGGTGATTGATGGAATGGTAGGGATCCACACACAGTGAGGAAGTCAGTTTCAACACCACTCAAGCCTGCGTCTTTGTACAAACGTGAGATACGCCTTTAAGGTTTCCACATGACCCCTGTAGCATTTATATCACACATTCTTAACATCTGGTCGTTTTCCAATGAGACTTCTAGACTTCTGATACTTTTTCTTCCGACTGCCTTTCTTCTCTGCTTGAGTTGACACTTGTTTATAATTGTTATTTCTGGGAGTCTCGGGACTCTAAGTTATCTTTCTCTTTTCTTCAGTGGTATACGTTTATGTTGGTTCAGAAGCTATGCTCTCTCTAGGGAGATTTGGAGACCACTGGGTTGTAAGTCTGGTTTCTTCTGGGCCAGATACTCTTCTGGGTCTTGCTGTGCGGTCCTCGGATAGACTCTTGGGTTTGTAGGAGTCCTAGGCATGTGTTATATGCTGATGCTATATGGAAATTTCCTTCTTAAGCTTTCTCAGGGCTGTTCCCTCCACCTGGCCCAGCGCCTCAGTCAACTGCTCAATCTCCAACTTCGGAGGATGCCTATCCTGTCCAAGGAGTCAGCCCCTGGTCTCGTCATCGCTACTGGTAAGTAAGTGTCCTTGCCTATTACCCAGGGGCTTGGGTGGGCTGGTTACATGCAGCCAATAGATATACAGTGATCATCCACACCTCCAGCAGTGTCCCTTCCTCGTGGCTTTATGACGTTATCCTAGTGACTAGCTACTTTTTGGGATGTCTGGTCGGACCAGATATCTTTCCGGCTTATTCTTCCTTTTGTATTTCAGGCTCTGTGGGAAAGAACTTGGCCAGCAAGACCAACGTGTACATCTCCAGCAGTGCCGGAGCCAGATGGAGAGAGGTTAGTTCCTGGTCCCAGGGCTTTCCTTAGGGTGAGCATGTGAGCTGTGAACCAATATTTCAGGGACACAATGGTCTCTGGCAGAGGTCTGTGATGCTCTGTATGATCTGCATGTGTATACAGAAACCAAGGGCCCCACAGAAGAGTGAGCCGCACTCCCGTGTCTTCACACCCTATAATGTACTCGTGATTTTTGCCAGAATATCACTTTAAATAAAAAACAGACTATTTCAGTTTTTTTTAATTAGAAACAACTGTGAATTTGAACAAGTTTTTCAGGATAATACATTCCATAAGGGGGAGAATACAGTGTCTGTTTTGCTTACTTCTTCAGCCCAGGGCTGGAACAGTGTCTGGCATAGGGAAGATGCCCAGCAAAATTTGGTGAATGTGTCAGCGAATTACAATGCAGCTGTGGCGGGTCTGACACTGCTCCTTTCCCCTTTCCTTCTGAGCCTCGCTGGCTGGCCCTTTGCATCTTCCCCATGCTATGGGAGGGGATTGTTTTTTCACACTGTTTAACCGGTTCATCTGAATCTTGAACACTGACTGACCACACCCATTCTCCATGGTCAGCTTATGCTCCCGACAAAGTTGTGGTCCTATTCTGTAGGGACTTGGTCTGTGTGGACTCTCTGAGGGTGGGTCCCGACATCCCAAAGTCAGCATCTGTTGCTTCCATCCCCACAGTGGATGCTTCTTGTGGAGAAGTGTGCATGCTTTCACACTAAATCTGGCATACACACAGCAATCATGTTACCGTTTGGCTCTGGGTAATTTGTAAACATTGCTCTTACATTTTACCTCATATGTGGCCTAGGCTTCTTATCATCCCTCTAAATGAGAAAGAGAGAAAACAGGCAGAGTCTCTCTCTCTCTCTCTCTCTCTGTCTCTCTCTGTCTCTCTCTGTCTCTCTCTGTCTCTCTCTCTGTCTCTCTGTCTCTCTCTCTCTCTCTCTCTCTCTCTCTCTCTCTCTCTCGTGTGTGTGTCCACATACATGTGTATATATGCATTCACGCTCACAAGTTAAGTGTTCTACCCAGAATGGCCGAAAAAACCAAGTCTGTATTCCGATGAAAGAAGCGATCAGGCTATCATGGCCAAATGAGAGTTGAAGGTTTAGAATTTTCAGGTTGCCTGTATACTGTCCCATGGGAAAGATGGAACAGCTGCTTCTCCATCCGCAGAGCTATTGTTTCCTTTGGAGTGCGGCATCCTCTCACCAGCAGAGGGGCCTGCGGGCTTTTAGTACCTTCTGCTGCTGGAGATGACAGGGATGGGAACATCCGCAAGTTATTTCCTTTGGGTAGAGAGCTGTGTCTTGCTCCTCCTCCATTGGAGCCTCGTTGCCTGGCTGTTGCCAGGGCAGCTGTTGGAGACTCTCTCCAGGCATACGTAATGCCTGCCAGGAAGTAGTCAGCACCCAAGGGACCTTGTTTTGGGAACTAGCAGAGAAGTAGCTGGGGATGAGAGTTGGAGATTACCTGTGAGGGAGCTTCACAGTCCCCGTGGGTGGCCTTCACCACAGAGTCCCCATATGGGAAGGGGACTAGTCATCACTTACACTGGGGGATGAGGGAGGCAGGTGACAGATTGCTGCAGGGAATAGTGGTGACCGAGATTCTGGTCGCCCTCTAACTGGCTATGTAAACTCTCTGGTCCCCACAACTTCCTCTTCCATAACAACTTCACTCAGAGCTGTGAACTATAGTAAATCTATGCTATAGTGTTCTGTTGGATAAGAGCCATCCCTTGTTTCTATAAATTCAAAGTATCAAGCATGCCCCAAGTATCTCTGTAGCCTCTTGTTGTATACGTTCCTCTCTCCACTGTCTGCTTCCACCTCTACATATTGATAGTAGGTCTAGAACTCTGTATGAGGGCTGCTCTGTATGGATGGATTGTTTGTTCCTCTTTCCAAGACTCTGTCACTCCTGTGAACCTGAAGCTCATCTAAGAGGCTTCATTGCCTGTGTCAGTTACGGTTTTACTGCTATGAACAGACACCATGACCAATGCAAGTCTTATGAAAGACACCATTTAATTGGGGCTGGCTTACAGGTTCAGAGGTTCAGTCCAGTATCTCTAAGATGGGAGCATGGCAGCATCCAGGCAGGCATGGTGCAGGAGGAGCTGAGAGTTCTACATCTTCATCTGAAGGCGGCTAGGAGAAGATTGCTTCCTGGAGGTTAGGACAAGGGTCTTAAAGCCCATGACCTCAGTGACACACCTACTCCAACAGGGTCACACTTTCTAATAGTGCCACTCCCTGTGCTAAGCATATACAAACCGTCACGTTGCCTGTGGCCTCTTTTCTGCTGCATTTTGTACCCACCATAGGGACAATGGTGGTTTTATTTATCCAATCAAATTTTAATTGTTCTACCTACTTGGAATAGTTAAACTGTTTTAATGTTTGATACTTTATTTTCCCATTTTGTGTGTGTGTGTGTCACATGTGTACATGTGTATATGTGAGTTCTATAGCTTTAAGTTGTATTTACACATGTGATTCATTTAGAGTTAATTTCTAAATGTGTCATAAGCGAATGGGTACCACCCCATTGTTTTCATAGTTTAATCTGCTTGAACCACTTTTTGATAGCTATTTTTATCCATTTGTTGAGAAGATTTCTCTTTCCCCTGTTGTGTCACCCTGGCCCCTCTTTGGAAATCAATCTATCATGTATATGTGGGTGTACTGGGGGGTGTTCTGTTGCGTTCCATTGAGCTGTGTGTCTGTCTTTTTCACCACCACCATATTGTCTTGATTACCAAATTCTTATAGCCAGTGTTGGAATCAATTAGGGCGAGCCCTTCACTTATTTTCAAAATTGCTCTCCTTATTCAAAGTCCTTTGTGTGTCTGCGGACCCTGCCAGTTTTGCTAGGACTTTCGCTGGGAGCGCATCAAATTCGTAAATCGATTTCAGGGTAAATTGACATCTTAATAACACGGAGTCTTTTGATCCACCGTTGTAGTCTATCGCTCCATGCCTTCTCTCATTTCTCTTGGCATCTTTACATTTCCAATGTAGAAGCCTTGTATGTCCTTTCCTTCAGTTGTTCAGGCTGAAGCTCATGGTCTCACTGTTTCTGCCTCCTGAGTATGGGGATTAGAAGCATATGCCACCATGCCTGACTTGATTTCTCCTCTCCTCTCCTCTCCTCTCCTCTCCTCTCCTCTCCTCTCCTCTCCTCTCCTCTCCTCTCCTCTCCTCTCCTCTTTTCTCCTCTCCCCTCCCCTCCCCTCCCCTCTCCTCCTTTCCCCTTCCCTCCCCTCCCCTCCCTTCCCCTCTCCTCCCCTCACCTCCCTTCCCCTCCCCTCCCTTCCCCTCTCCTTCCCTCCCCTCTCCTCCCCTCCCCTCTTGTTTCTTCTCTTCCTTTGTTTTTTTTTTTCTTACAAGCTGGGAGTTGGATCCAGGGTCTTAAACATACTAGTCAAGCACTCCACTGTATATGTGTGTTATTCTTAAATATTTAAACTTGCTATTACTGAAAATGAAATTTTCTGTTAAGTTTATCCTTACAATTTTGTTGTTGGTGATTTATTTGTTTATTTATTTTTTGAGATTGGATCTGTCTGTGTAGCTCTGGCTTATCTGGAACTTGCTATAAAGGACAGGCTGGCTTTGAACTCAGAGAATCACCTGTCTCTGACTCCTAAGTACTGGAATTAAAGACATGTGCTACCATGCTTGGATTCGTTCCTAGATTTTTATGCTAATATATAACAATGCTTTCTGCATTCTATGACTCTGTCAAAGGCATGGATTCTTTTTAGTTATCTTGTATGTACATTTATTATAAACAATCATGCCAGGTGCAAAGGGAGGCAGTTCCTGTCTTATCCTAAACTATTTCTTTTTCTTCTTACCCTTTCTTCCTTCTGTGCTGTGATGCTCTCCTATTCCTCTCTTTCCTCTTACCGTGGTGACTGTGACCTCCAAACACTGTTGAATAGATGAAGGGAGAGTGAGTATTCCAGTTTGTTCTCTGAGGATAAACATTTTAGTCTCATTTGTTTTTTAAAGGCAGCGTCTTGGTAATCCAGGTAGGCTAGTCTTTGTGTCCTCCATCTCAGTCTCATGGATTAAACAATATGCTCTTGGTTGTATGTGATGTATACACACACACACACACACACACATACATATTCTACCAATGGAAAAATTCCCATTGGTTCTAGGTTATTGATAACCCTTAAAAAAATCACATCCAGGTATTGATTTTTATCAAATGGAATTTCTATATTGATGTAATGATATAGCTTTTCTTTATTCTGATACTGTGATGGATTGTATTACTTGGCTCTTGAAAATTAAGCTACCTTTCAGTCACAGAAGAAGTCCCACTTGGTCATGATACACTGTCCTATTTAAATATAGCTTGGTTTGATGTGCTAAAGATTCTAGGGATCTCTTTGTGAGAAATACTAGCGTGTGATAGTCTATTTGCAGTGTGTTTGGCTAGTTTCAGTATTGGGGGTCTCCTAAGAGAAGCTGGTTTGCTGTCTCCCGTTATTTCTGGCTGCCTATGTTAAAGTTGGTGTGATGCCTTCTGTCCTTCACCACTGGGCTGGGAATTTTCTTCTTAGAATATTTTTAGCAAGAGATTCCATTTCTCCAGTTGGTGCATGACTGTTCAGATTTTCAAATTTAGTGAATTTTTCTTGCTACCTTCTTAACATCTGTAGAAGCTTTAGAGATCATTTCGTTTCTGGTAGGAATGACTTATTTACTATATTACTAAAATTTTCCTTATTTGTTTGTTCTTTCTGTGTTTCGATCACTATTTATTTTAGATGGTTTTCAAGTATAAATATGTAAGGCTTTAAAATTTCTTTTGGATACATCTATTACTGTCCATTAACTTACCGTTTATCTGTGTCTTTGTATTTAAAGAATTTTATGTATGCAACATGTACATTCTTGCTTTCTTATAAATTATTATTATTATTTTACTTTTTGGGGGAGCTGGGTAGGTGCATATGGAGACCAGAGTACAACTTGTGGGAACTGGTTCTCTCCTTCCACTGTCTGGGTCCTGGGGAGCAAACTCAGGTTGTTAGGCTTGGAGGCTACTGCTCTTATCACTGAACCATCTCACTGGCCCCAGGCTTTGTCCCTGTGCCTTTATTTATTGGAATTAAGACTTTGATGTTTTGGGGCAGTGGTACGCACACCTTTAATCCCAGCACTTGGGAGGCAGAGGCAGGCGGATTTCTGAGTTCGAGGCCAGCCTGGTCTACAGAGTGAGTTCCAGGACAGCCAGGACTACACAGAGAAACCCTGTCTCGGAAAAAAAAAAAAAGACTTTAATGTTATATTTTTGTTACTTATTTCCTCTGTATTCATTTTGCTGTTTCTCTTTCTGCATCTCCTTTTGTGTTATTTAAATTTTTGTTTTTTGACAGTGCCGGGCATTGAACCCCAGAGCCTTATGCATTCTCACTGGGTGTTCTTCCACTAAGCTCCCTCCCTAGCCACCAGATATATTAGACTCTGTCTTTTTGTATTTCTCTCTTGTCTTCTTTTCTTTCAGAGGGTGCTCTGAGAATTAGAACATACATAGCTAGTCTTTCATAGTCTTTACCGAGTTCGTACAGGAAGTATATAAAATATAGAATGTTTGCATCATGTGGCTATGTGTCCCCTCCCTGACCTTTCAGTTTTTGTCGTATGATGTCTACATACTTTGAAAACATTCATTTATTAGTATTAAATGCCAATACTGATTTTAAATAATAGCGAACAAGCAATTTTGAATTCCCCCCATGTATTTGCCATTTATCTTGTCTATGGCTCCTGATGATCTCTGAATAGATACCCATTGCTTAAAGAGATACCTTGAGCATCTCCTGCAGAGCCCACTGTCTGTGAGGGGCCCACTGGCTATGGGTTCCCTCAGCTTTCCTTGGTTTGAGAATCTTTCATTTCTCTTTTCTTTTCAGGCATCATCTTTCTTCTATGGCTGAAATCTCAGCCAGTGGTCATCTGGGTTAATAGGACCTTGAATAAGTTTCATTGGCCTCTGTTTCCCCAGGTTCACGTGAACAACCTGTGGCCACTGCAGTTATATGATTTGCCCCTGTAGTGGCCCATTTCCATACAAGCATCTTTTTCCATGTATATATATTACCTCACTCAAATGTAGTTTAGGTTGCTAGGTAGAGAGATACATTTCAATTAAGGGATGCATGCTCTGGGATCCCTCCCACACTTCCCCAGCCTGCAAGGAGTCATTCACCAGTTCCTTTTGCAGAAACAGTTTCTGTGGAAGTTTGAGATCCCTGGCTAGAACTGAGGTTCTCCATAAATGGCCTTCCCTTGAGGCAGCTTTGTATCAGGAGGTGTGTGTATGTGTGTGTGTGTGTGTGTGTGTGTGTGTGTATGTGTGTGTATGTTAGGCACTAAGTCTCCCCCTACAGGCTTCAGAGAGCTGACTCTGTTATAGCAGAACAGCAGCTCTGGTTGACTGGTTATTTTGCAGTGTGGGGATGAAGCCTGAGGCTCAGGCTTGTCAGGGAAGTGAAGAGGACTCTGAGGTAACCTAAACTCTGGAGTATGGGCCCTTAGCTCTCTCTGACTCCAGGATTGAGAGGCATGAAGGAGAGGATGGAGAACCTGTTCTGAGAACTGGAACCTGCATTCTAGCGGCTGTCACTGTGGTGGTGGTGTGTGTCCGGGGAAGGGGGAGTGCACCATTTCTGCATTTACCTCTACAGCAGCACATCACCTCTGTTTTGTTTGTTTGTTTTCCTAATTAGGCTCTTCCTGGACCTCATTACTATACTTGGGGTGACCATGGAGGCATCATTATGGCTATTGCCCAGGGCATGGAGACCAACGAGCTGAAGTAAGTGCTTCTGATTATCCCACCTCTTCCTCTTCCTTCTCCTCTTCTTTAAAAAGAAAATCTTTTATACTCTTCTCTCTACTTCTTCCTCCTTCCTTCCCTCCCTCTGTTTATTTTTTTTGAAAAAACAAAACAAAACAAAACAAAACAAAAAACGAGGTCTCTCACTGTGTAGCCCACGCTGTCTTGAAACTTACGTAACTCTAATTGGTGTAGAACTTGGCAATCCTGCTGCCTCAGCCTCCCAAGTGCTGAGATTAGGGGCATCCGTTACTGTGCCTTTATATGTGTGTGTTTATTCCTTTGCTTTGGACATCAAACTGTTCTCTCACTGGTGTCTATGGTGACCATTGGATGCTCTCTGTAGCACTAGGTTCAGGACAGAGAACTGAGACCTCTGGAAATCACTTAAACATTTTATGCCTATAACATAACTAATTCCTTCTGTCTTAGAGGGGGGGTTAGGAGAAACAAGCGAAGTAATATTTATTTCTTTGAATAAAAAACTATCTACTGTCTTTCTTTTCATTAATTGTTTCAGATTAACGTATACAGTAAAGAATTTCATTATGGTAATTTTATCTATTTACTTTTAACATATATGACATTATTATTATTATTATTATTATTATTATTGCTCAACTATCCACTTCCTACTACCCTGTCTGCTGTCCTCTTCTCCATCCTACCTGCTTCTCTTTCTTTCCCCAGACAGTTCCCCCTTCTGCTTTCTTATCACATGTAACTGGAGAGTTTTGAACACTTCTTTTGCTTTTAAAAATAGCGTTTCCGAAGGTTTGTGCACAAGATGAACTAATAGTTAAAATGACAAGAAATAATGACAGGCGAATGAATAGTGACTGTCGAATGAAGATCACTTGGCAACCAGGTGACTTCTGCTTGGCTACCTTTTGTCTTGAGGATTGTCGTAGATGGAGCTGGAAAGGATGTTAGGGGTGAACTGCTTCCTTTTACAAATGGGGAAACTGAGGCTCAGGAAGACGTAACCGTGAGCTTGCAGAGTCATCCCTGAGAGTTAGTTTTGGGTTATGTCTAAGAAAAAAGCAAAGTGTCTGGAGTTTGTAGCTCTTCTCCCCTCCAGGAGGCTTGATTTTATCCACAATAATTTCTTTGCTTCCTTTCACGAAGCTATTGAACCAGAGTCACCACTGGAAAAGACAGACTGACCATCATCTCTGCTTGGTTTTGCCCTGAACCCTTTAGTTGTGTGATCATGGAAGGCAGAGAAGGCTGCTGTAGTCACGCTGTGCAGTGGGAAGGAGCAGGCTTCCCCTGCTTTTGTTCCTATTAGAACTGGCCAGGGGCAAGAAGTGGGTGTTTGGAAAGGGGAATTTTAACAGCTAGTTTCCCCTCTGTGCTTAACTGGGCCTGTACTAAGCCTCAAAGAGGTAGAGAGAGGCAAAGGTCTAGTCTTGCCTTTCCACCTGGCTGCTCTGGGCCTTGGGTGGCATGGGGCAGCTGCTTCTCTAGAGCCTAGAGGCAGGGGAGGTTGTATTTGTCCACGACACCCACATCCGTGTTCAGATTAGCCTTTGCTCAGAGGATGATATTCACAGAGGATGCTTCCCACAGATCTGCTGGTGTTTTGTGTGTCTAGTCATTTAACTCACACCATACACATTGAGCAAGTGGTACTCACAGGTAAATCTAAAGAGGAACAGGATCCTGTGGTCCCCTCCCGCCCCCAGGAGCGCATCACCCTCTGGCTGTAAGGTTAGGCAAGGAGGTAATTGTAGTGGTTGGTGAACTGCTATGTGAGAAAGGCATACAGGGGCCAGGGTTTGGTTTCCTGGGCGTAGATTTCATTCTTTGGATAGTTTTGAGTTTTCAGATTTGGGAGTCGGTTCTCAATTTTCCTTGTTTAACTTCTCCACAGATTACATTAGCATTCCAAGCTGGCTCCTCTGAAGGAGCTGGTGTGATTTTAGTCCTCTTGCACCATCTGTCGGTGCATATGTGCCCAGGGAACTCAGCGTCATCCTGCGCTAGCTGCAGGAAAACATGGCCAGGAAAATAAACCTGCTGACGGCAAACCCATAATGCCCTCCCCGGGCCTTTCATAATGCCTTTGGTGGTTGGTGGTGGACATCGTGGACACTGTGCTGTTCTTCTATTGGCACGGATCATTTGGAAGTGTCTGCAACACACAGTTCAAATAAATATGGACTGGCCTCCTTTTGACAGGTACATGTGTCCCAAGAACCAACTCAGACTTGGCAGGGATTTTTGCAGCCACCTGGCGTTTACTGAGTGTGTTGTTCTCAGAGGTGTTTGCTCCTCCTTCTGCTGTCCCGAGAAGCAGAGGATGATCGTGAAGTCTCCAAAGACAAACAGCGATTCCCTAGGCCGCGTTAGATGTGAGCGAGGCCTTGTGCCAGGCTTTTGATTGTTGTGAGAAATAACACCAAAGAAACAGGACAAAGCTGGGAGAGTTCGTTTTGAGTTCACAGTGTCACAGGATTCAGTCCCACTTGGCTGCTTCGTTGCCTTTGGGAGGGTAAGCAGAATCAGCATGCCAGGGAGCACATGGCTGAGCAGAGCTAGTCAGCAGGGTGGGCATGCTGACTAGGTGTAACTTCCCAGGACATGCCCCCAGCAGCCTCTGTCCTCGGACTAAGCCCCACCCCCTACTTTCCAACACCTCCCCATAATGTCACCATGATATGAGCCCATCAAGGGATTAAAGTTAGAGCCCTCATGATATGGTCACCTCTCAGAGATAGACTCCATCATGAGAGCACCAAGCCTTTCTATCCATGTTGACACAACTGGCCTCAGGGCTCTGGTCCTCTGACCTCCCTTACCGTAGCAACCTCTCTGTCCTTTGAGCCTCAGAATTTCTTGGCTGTCGTATTCATTTAGATTGACTGTGTTCAGACTTCATGTTTTAGCTCGATTTCATTCTATGCCTGGATTCTTCAACTCATTAGCAAGGCTTTTGTAAGCCCGTCTGCCTGGTCTATACAAGTTAGCAGGCACTTAGCAAATATTTGATCGATCAATAAATAGGTCACGCATACTTGGACATCTGAGATTGCTTTTTGTCTTTTTCTTTCTTCCTTTTTTTTTTTTTTTAAACAATTGATTTTAAAAGCCGGAAGGAATCTGGGTAGGGTGCTATTTGCACAGCTCCAAGAGAGACCACTGCTGTTGTGTTCGATGTAAATGACAAGCCTTGAGCAGTGGGGGGACTTCTTGAATGTGTGTAGCCAGACAGCCTGAGAGAAGGTCTGGTCCCCCCTCCTTATCTTCCACATGAGAACATGATATGATTTGTGGGAGTTAGCGCCCACACTGGAACATGAACAGATTTCTGCTAGGAATCATTTCAGGTCAATTACACAAACATTTGTTGAACAACTACGGTGAACCAGATGTTGTGCTAGACACCGGTGATGGGGAGGCGAGCGGGGCCTGGTTCAGGATCTGCCCGTGCCCATGGGAGTGCTAGGATATCTGAGCCAGTTGGAAAGAGAGTCTGGGAGAAGGAAGGAGCTTGTTTTGAAGAGAGGACAGGAGGTTCTGTGCATCTAACAATGAATAGAATGTGGTCCCTCACCTTTAAGCATTTTTCCCTTAATTTGTAATGTAGGCACAGAGAGCCAAAGGGAACAGAGTTTTGTTCTAATCAGAGGGCAGAGGTAGTAGAGTTAGGAACAGTGGTCAAAGACAGAAAGAGAGATTTGGGGTATTTGTTTCCTCTACTCCTTGGTGGTTCATTTAGTATTTCATGGCATTCTTTCTCTGATTAGCACAGGGACTAAGATCTCTCTGTTTGCCTTCTGCCTTGCTTCTCCATTGAGATTTTATCATCGGTGCTAACTGAACTGGAGGGCAAGGCTAATGCTTTGGTTTGCCTTTGTCTGAAGTGAGAAAAAAAAAGCGGGAACCCAAGGGGCTAGGGATTTGCTTTTGCATCCATTCTGCATGCTTCACCAAGAAGCTGCCTGGAGGACACCAAGGAGTGGTTTCAGTTCTTAAGGACACACAGCGTCCCATAGAGAAGGGGCTGCTACGGTTCGCATCCTGACCAGAAAGGATCCAAGCACCAGTTTGTGAGCTGGATCCCAAGGGCCGAGATCAATTTCCGTTTCTTCTTGGCAGTTCGCCTTGTCAGTGTGATGAAATGTTGATAGTTACTAATACTTTGGACTTGCCCCAAAGCATCTTTTCTGGGGGGAGATCTCCAATTTCACAGGGCTTCCTTCTGGGGATCCTCCAACCTCCTGCACGGGCTGCATGTAGCAGCATAGCCGTAGTTGTCTTTTCTGGACCTTTCTGGAATGGCATTCTAGGCTCACCCTCATGGTTCCAGAGCACAGGAAGCTGCAGTGGCTTCTTCCATGGTGTCACATCCATGGCTAAGCAGCATTACCATGAGGCAGCTGCAGAGAGCGGTCCCCACCCTAGTCTCACCCTGGGTGGCTTCCTCTGCTCATGGAGGTAGAAGCAACAGATGTCCTTATCACCTTTTAACTGTTACAAAACTAGGACAAGATTTTTTTTTTTAAAAGAAAAACTCAGTGTGGGTTGTTTAATTTCCTGCAGCAAATGTTGATTATTCTTCCTCCGGTGGTAGAAGAGGTGTGAGGTACGGGGACAGGGAAGTGGGTGGAGGTTTTATTACGGATGAGCTACAGTGTAGAAGACCTTCATGGATCTGGTCATGCAAAGACAGTAGGCAAGGGTGTGAAGTCTAGTGCAGGGCCTAGTCTGTGCCAACTGGGAGGTGGGGAGAGGCTTTTTCGAAGGAGGTGAAACATGAGGTGAGATTGAAAGGTTGGTGTACAGCACCAGTGTTAGAAAGAGCTTTTCTGCTTGTGGGGCCAGAGAGATAGCCCAGCACTTCAGAGACCTTGCTGTGCTTGCGGAAGACCTGAGTTCCGTTCCCAGCATTGATACCAGGCGCCTCACCGCTGCCTGTAAACACAGCTCTGGGTGTTTGATGCTTTCTTCTGGCTTTGGCGGGAGATACGGGGTTGTGGGGATGGGTAGTAGTAGGTTGGGTTGGGGAGCGGTACCTTTGTATGCTTGGCATACACTCTCACACATACAAAAAGAGACACAGCTTGAGCAAAGGTGGCAGTGTGAGTCTGTGGTCCCTGAGGTCTTCATGTATGAACAGAATGCGTACTGAGAGATGCAGTGGTGAGAGTCGAGGCTTGAGGTGGGCAGCACCAGTCCAGTGGGCCCTTTCCTGACTCTCACTGGAAAGATGTTGTTGTTGTTATTTGTGTGTGTTTAAATAAAGTTATTGTTGTTCTTTGACAATGTCACATATGTGTGTCATGAAGTTTGGCCATTTTTACCATCCTTACACTCTCACTGCCTATAAGCTATTCTGCCAACAGATTCTATGGATAGGTTTTTTTATTTCTTTCTCTTTTTTTTTCTGAGTTCAATTAAGATTGATACGTGAGCACAGGTGTGGGGCTCTTTCCTGGAGCATGGCACTAGTGGTGGTACCCCTGAAGACAAAAACAACACCCCTTTCTTCAATTAGCTGCCAATAGCTTCTTTTTTAGAGGGGCGGGGCCTCACTGGTCCCGCCCTCACTTGTGATTGAGAGGTCGACAGGCCCAGTCTTGTGAAGGTAACCACAGCAGCTGGGGGTTCATAAGAGAAATGGCCGTGTATATCTATGACAGTCACCACCATCTCTAGCTCTTACCTGCACTCTTTCACTCACTTCTTTGCTGTTGCTCCCTGGACCTTAGCGGGGTGATGTAGATCTCCTGGGGGAAGCTGGACACTCTTAGCATTTGACGACTTATTAGTCATGGGATTGATTGTTGCCCACAGCAAGGAGAAGCTTCTCTGGCCCAGGCTGAGAGCAGCGCTCACCTATGGATATAAACGTCAATATTTATAAAGCACTTTGACATCATGCCCATTTAGCAAGACAACAGCAGGCTTTCCACTATAGCCTTTGGTGTTTGAACCAGGTTTTCAGTATCAGAGAGCAATCACCTCTTGTGGACGGACCCTCATCTAATCAGAGAGCAATTGGTTACCCCCATAATAGTCCTTGCATGATTGCACCAGAGGGCATTTCTTGCCCTGCAGGTTGGAACTGTAGTTTGAAGGGTTCATAGTTGTGTAACTGAACTGAAACTTTGCTTTTGAGGGCTTTTAAGTGGAGGAATGACTTGACTTCCTTCGGAAGAATGAGGACGATAAATATATTCCAGAGAAGATTGGAAGTGAAGACTCGTGGGTTCAAGGGCGCACCCTGTGTGAAAAGTTGAAAAGGACGTGTGCTTTCTGGTTAACTGGAGGATGATTCTACCACTCACAGAAAACAGAGGCTTAGGGGGAGTGGGGCGGGGCCATCCCCTGAAGGCAGATTTGCTCAAGGTGAACCAGGTGGCAGTTTCAGGTTCCAAGGCTGAGTTCAACAGTAATATGTACGAGCTGTCTCACATGGTTCTGCCTTCTGCCACCTATGAGGGAGGACCTTCCAGTCTTTGAGTAACTTTGAGCAATAGAGAACTTGCCATTTTCTTCTGGGCAGCTTGATTTGTTCCTTTGGTCATTCATTCATTCACTTGCTCATGTATTCATTTGTTCATCGGTGAGCGTAGGTCTCTGGTAAGAGAAACTCGAGTTCTCTGCTATCTAGGTTCCGTTCCATGGCTTTGAGTTCTGCCCCCTGGGATCATACAGCAGATACTTCCTTTTTTTTTTTTTTTTTTTTGTTTTTTTTTGTTTTTTTTTTTTTTTTGTTTTTCGAGACAGGGTTTCTCTGTATAGCCCGGGCTGTCCTGGAACTCACTCTGTAGACCAGGCTGGCCTCGAACTCAGAAATCCGCCTGCCTCTGCCTCCCGAGTGCTGGGATTAAAGGCGTGCGCCACCACCGCCCGGCCAGATACTTCCTTTTATTGGAAAGCTGTCCAGACTTTGATGCCTCATGCTTGTAATACTGAGTGTCTGTCATTCTGTGGGAAATACCCCAATTTCCTTTCCTTGTCTGCTGTCAAATCTTCACACAGAGTTTTCTCTAGGTCTATCTTGTAATATCATTGCATTAAGATGTGGGTCTCATAACTGACCTCCATAGTGTGAACTGTGCAGAAGGACTAATACCTACTGATTCGGGATACTATTTCTACAAATAAAAACGTTAAGTTTCTTGACGTGTAACCTAGGCTATCCTCCAACTTGAAATCCTCCTGCCTCAGCCTCTCCAGTGCTGAGATGACAGATGTGCACCACCATGCCTGCCATTTTCAAAGTGGTGACTCCCATTCATCTTTTATTTATTAAGAAACCATTTACATAGCATGGGATCATTAGATCTCAATCAGTTTTCAGGGAGTTGTACCAAGATGCTTTCCCACCACCCCAAAGATGCCCCTGTAGGCACCCGCCCATCAGTGCCTCACTTCTGTCATCCTGTCCATGATATGCAGTTGCTATGTTGATTTTATTGCTATTGCCATGAAAGTAATTTCCTTCATTCCAGAGTTGCAGCTATGTACAGCGTACGTACACACACACACACACACACACACACACACACACACACACTTGGTTTCCTTTACTCATATAGAATTTTCTATTTTCTTCTGTTTTTGGTTTATTTTTGTAATATGTATGTGTGTGTGTATGTATTTTCACATGTGTAGAGTGTGTTCATGTGCACATGTGTGTGAACCTGTATACCTGTGCATGTGGAGGTTGAAGGTCAGTAGTAGCAATCTTCCTTGACTGTGTGTCTGTCTAGTTCTTTGAGGCACTGGCTCTCAGTGCTTGGCAACACAGTCCATCTCCTTAGCCAGTTTGCTACAGGGATCCCATCTCTCTGCCTTCTGAGGTTGAGATTATGGGAAAGACACTGTACCAACATAGTATTTATATGGATTCTGGGAATTCAAACTCTGGTCCTCTTGCTTGGATGGCATGAGCTTTATCTACTGACTCATTTCTCTGGCCCAGCATTTCAGATTTGTTCACCATATCCTTTTGTCAGTAGCTAAGTTTAGCTCAACTAACCCCCGAGAAGTCCACCGTCTGATAGATCTTATTAAAGGACACATATCTCCTATCCTCAATTACAGCAGGTTAAGTCTTGGGAACATCACGTGAATGTTTATATTCTCATTTTTGCTTAGTCTTTGGATGCATGAAAACATTTGAATTTAATTTTACCACATATGTCTATATCTATACCTGCATATGCATAAATATATGTACAACTGGCCTTGTGCCCTTTGCAAACGGGGTGGTGTCACATTCAAGTTCATTGTCTAAACTGCTGTCTGGAGTGCGGAGCTCGGTGAGAAATTGAAGTTTTATTTTGGTTCGTGATCAAATATCTATCAGCTCACTTCATATTACTTCACCAACAATGAATGAATGTTTATATGTGTGGTCCACAAGGATCTCTTTTTTTAAAAAAAAAAAAATACTGTGCTCACATCATTATCCTTCTTATGGTTGGTTTTGGTTATCAGCTTGATGGGATTTGGAATCACCATGGAAACAAATCCCTGAGCATGTAAGAGAGATTAGCTCAGTTAGGTTAACTGATGTGGGTAAGGCCAGCTCATTGCCTGGAGTCTTGAACTGAATAAAAAGGAGAAAGTGATCTGACATAAGCAAATACTGCTCCCCGTGGGTGCAGTGTGACCAGATGTCCCAAAGGTCTACCAGATGTCCCAAAGGTCTACCAGATGTCCCAAAGGTCTACCAGATGTCCCAAAGGTCTACCAGCGTGACTTTCCTGCCGTGATTGACTATACCTTTAAAACGTGAGCCGAAACAACACACCCTGAAGTTGCTTCTGTTTTATGTGTTTCTGTGTTTTGTCATAGGAACAAGATAAGTAACTAACACAAATCTCTTGCTCAAATCAAGATGAATCAGAAAGAAAAGAAGTGGATTAGCATGTCGTGACAAGAGACCATTGGGTTCTCAGCTCTGGGTTCCGTTTGCCTGACTGCTGTTATTATCCATTCTCAAAAGTCCCTTTTCTTCTTTAGGCAAACAAAGACTGCTCCTCTTCTGTCTTTAGGATCTGTTCTGCCCGACTCTTGCAGAAATTACCACAAAGGACTCAGATAATTTTATCTACATCTCTTCTTATTCCCTAGTAGGTATACACACACAAAAGAAAAAAGGAAGGAAGAAAAGAGATCCATATTTTTTTTTCTTGCCTCTTGTCACTTTAATGTCACGAGTAAGTCCTCTTTTCTGTGTCAGAATGTTGAGATCAGACCAACACAGCCGTTCCCTAAGCTGCTGCTATTGTTATTGCTGTTATTGTTAACACTTCAAGATTCCTGAAAAACGCCATGTTCTAACTGAGCAGTGTGTTCTCAGGTACAAGGCTATGCTTGGCCACACACCTGCTGGTTCGCCTTATTAATGGCTTTACTGTCTGCACCTTCTGGGAATCTATAGAGAAATGATTCATTTCCTGGGGTTATCTTTGGTTGGATGATCTCTTAAATGGAGTTAGCTTGCCCATGTAAACATAGATGGACTTCCTGTACCATCATTGAACAGCTGGACCATTCCAAGCTTGTCTGATTAATGGATCGACTCTAAAGGTATCTTTAGGAGTGGTATTGAGCCTTCAGCTTCTTAGCATTGGTAAAAAGCAAGGGGCTGAATGGGTTAATCATATTTGATTTAAACACTACTAAAACTCCAAGCATGACAGCTGGTTGAGAATTGTCCCCACATATGACCTGTGCTGGGTAGGGGGTAGGTACTTAGTCACCCAGTCATCTAGTCGTCACTTGGTTTAGCCTCTAGGTATAGAGAGGTCACTTCAGAAATCTCAGGATAAGAAGTATTGGGATTGAATGAGGTGGTCAAAATATTTGTGTCCAGTTCTATATATGAACGTATGTATGTATGTATGTATGTATGTATGTATGTATGTATATATGTATGTATGTATGTATACATATTATATATGATGTGTATATACACATATACTTATATATTATATGGATGATATATAGATGACAGTGTAGTCATCTACACTGTCCCATGTTCTAGATTTGTTCAGTTGCTTGATTTGTTTGAATGTGACCATTCATCAGATGGTACTGAGAGGCTGGGCTGAATCCAGATGCATGTGGTGTCTATTGGTGGTGCTAAGTGTGGGTAAGAGTGTGACTCATTGTCCCGCATGAAATTGCATTTCCCCAGCAGTGAACGGTTGGTTTGTGGGCTCATCCCCTTAGACCGCCTGAGCATCCTAGTCCCCTACAATTTTACATGGTGATTTTAGCCTTTAGTAGTGATCCTTGTCTGATTTGATTACTACATTGGGGATTACAGAATGCTAACCCTTCGTGTTCTGTTATTATTTTTTAATGGTATTTGGTGATGTACCAATATAAGAAAAGATGACTTTCTTCTCCCCTTCTCCCCTCCCTCTCCCTTTCCTCCCTCCATCCCTCCCTTCCTCTCATCATTGGTAGCGATTTATCTTTTATTCAATATAATATTACCATCCTCTTCCTCTTCTGTGTCAAATGTTCTCTAAATTTGGCCATTCCGAGTCCTATCAGCTAGTCCCTGCATCTTATTTTTCAGTGGGGAAGGTTGGAGATTGAACCTAGCAACGAGTGACACCCCAATGTTTGCATTCTTTTTAGGTGGCAAATCTGTCCTTGACACTTTCTTGCTTTTTTGGTACAACCATAAACTTACCTGTTGGTGAGGTCACCGTTTCCCAGACCACTGGTTATGACCACTAGTGATGTATGTAGAAACTGAGGCCTGCCTTCCAGGATGGTAACCTCAAGGCTCCTTTTGTTTGTCTTGGGCAGGTACAGCACCAATGAGGGGGAGACCTGGAAGACATTTGTCTTCTCCGAGAAGCCTGTGTTTGTGTACGGGCTCCTCACAGAACCTGGCGAGAAGAGTACCGTCTTCACCATCTTTGGATCTAATAAGGAGAGTGTCCACAGCTGGCTCATCCTGCAGGTCAACGCCACTGATGCCTTGGGTAAGACAACGCCTCCTGGGCCCTCACTACAGACATAACGACTGATTGTCTGGAGTGGGCAGGGTGGCAGCTTAGATAACAGTGTCCTTCCTGTTTGTGACTCACTACGGGAGATGGCCCAAACAAGCGCATGAAAGACCCAGGGCTCAGGTGTTTGGGGGTTTATTTACTCAGTTCTTCTTAAGAAGACTGATTATGATTCTTTGTGTCTTGGTTTCCTTGTGCAGTGCCTGGTAGTAAGTCTAAATATATATCTGTTAAAAGTGTGAGTGGGTGGGTGGATGGATGGATGGATAGAAGCGAGTTTACCAAATTAGAGGTTCCTCAAAGGACCTGTTCAAATGGGTATGTCTATATTAGCTCTCCATTAGGGAAAAGGAGGAAAACTTTGCTTTAGCTTGTGGTTTTGGTCCATAGTGCCTTGACATTGTCACTATAGCTGTACTCGGAGCTATGATGGGAGAAGTCGCTTATCACATAGTATCTAGGAATCAAAGAGAGAGAGAGAGAGAGAGAGAGAGAGAGAGAGAGAGAGAGAGAGGAGGGGCTGGGCCCCAGCACATTCCTTAAAGTCACACTCCTGACGACCTTACTTCTCTCCTCTAGAGCTCACTTCCTAAAAGCTCCACCCATTTACCCATAGTGCCATAGGCCAGGGTCTAGCACCTGGGTCTTTGGGAGCACTAATGATCCAAAGAATAGCACAGCGTTGATGCGGGGTCCTTTGAAGGCTGTCTGGAGTCTGGTTGTTATCTGTTGATGCACGTATGCATGGAGGACTGATGGACTCGGGAGTGCTCTTTCAGACTGCCTCCTTGGCCTCCGCCCTTTCTCGCTTCTCATTCGCTGACATATTCCAGCTACCCAAAAAGCTTTCTCTGTCTTCTTACCTGAGCCATCCAACCCCAGTCTCAGGATCTAGCGTCTCAGGATATGCTGCTGGCATCTCAGTCGGAAGATGTCTCTCCTCTGTCCGTCACATCTTGAATTATATATCCGTGCCTGCAATTAGGTATCATGTCCCACCCCCCTAATTATGAGGCTCTTGCATTTCCTTATCGCACCCACTGAGTATCTTTATTGCCTCATAGATGTTTTAATAATTCTTTGCTAATTTGAGTGGCATTGTGTCGGCAGGTGTGCGTGTCAGCTTTGGGTAGTATTTAATCTGACACACATATTAAAAAAAAAATGATACGAGGCACCAATTATAAGTAAGCATAGAATTCCCATAGGCACACTAACTGACGTGTTAAGTGGATGTGGGCTGGTGGGAGAGGTATGAAGTTATCTTGTCATTTCTCTCTACTTAAAGTTCCTGTACCATCAAGTAGGGCAAACACATTTCTCAGTGCTCTCAGTCCATACTACCAGATTTGCTTTTCTTCCTAAGGAAGCAGGATGGGATAAGAGCACCCCTGCATCCCCTACCAAGTATGCCAGCAGGGACTCCAGCCCCAGCCCAGCCCTACCTTAACCCTGCCCCTGGCAACTATTTGTAAAAGGAGCTATGGACTCTCCTAGTAATTTAGAGACTTGGTTGAATATTATGACATATGGCAGAATTTCAGTACTGGGGGTGTTGAGGCAGGGGGATCAGGAGTTTGGGGTTCACCTGAACTCTCCAGATATATCTTCTTGTTTATAAAAACATGCAAGCAAGCAAGCCAGCAAGCCGGCCAGAACTCTAGGTCAGCTAGATGATGGTTTAACAGGTAAATATGCTTAGTGTTCAATCCTGGAGAGCCCAGTTCAATCCTGGGAACCCATATAAAGATGGAAGGTGAAACCTAACTCCATAGAGCTGTCCTCTGACCTGCACATGTGCACCAGCGTGCACATACAAACAAAGACATAATCAAACAATCAATCAATCAGTTTAAAATACAGTACCAAGTCAAACAAGTGATAAAGAGTACATGCATACATGCACACGGCACACACACATACACACACACACTCACACACACTCAGTGCACAAATCAACAAAAATAAACAGCACTCCCTGACCTGAGATGCTGCAGCTGATGGTGTCACATGTGACCCGCACCTTCACAGCTTTCCCAGAGGAGCTGTGTCACAGGGATGCTCCTTCCTCCTCATGACTGCTGTCCACCCTCGGGTTACTAGAGATGGGGATTTTTGAGCTCTTGTATTTGCTGGAGGGCTACAGAGGCACTGGAAGTGGAGGGCTGCATTGAGGGTGTAGAACTACAGAGGCACCGGAAGTGGAGGGCTGCATTGAGGGTGTAGAACTACAGAGGCACCGGAAGTGGAGGGCTGCATTGAGGGTGTAGAACTACAGAGGCACCGTAAGTGGGGGGCTGCGTTGAGCGTGTGGAGACAGGAAACCCTGCACCTTCCTGGATCTGATGCATTGCTCTGCCCTTTTCTGTTCTCAGGGGTTCCTTGCACAGAAAACGACTACAAGCTGTGGTCCCCGTCTGATGAGCGGGGGAACGAGTGTTTGCTAGGACACAAGACAGTTTTCAAAAGGAGGACCCCTCACGCAACGTGCTTTAATGGGGAGGACTTTGACCGCCCGGTGGTCGTGTCCAACTGCTCCTGCACCCGGGAGGACTATGAATGGTTTGTTCTTTCTCCATGCCCAGGATCTGGAGTTATGTCATATCTGCTCTGTAATGTGAGGCTAAAAGATAGAGAGCGTGTTCCCTTTCTCTGAGGAAGGGGAATCATTGAGCATGCTGTATGCAAGCAAGAAGTATACTAACTAACATCCCAGCCCAGGCCAACAGATCCAGAGGAGCCAGTCAGTAACAGGTGGATGGGTCGAATGAATGAGGGAGACTAATAAACTCCCTGCCTTTGGGATGGTTCTGCACAGCCCGCTAAGTGAGGCTTATACAGGGCAAACCGTGTTGTCCTGTGGTTCGGTTGTACTTTTCATCCAGGGCAATCTAGGAAATAGTCAGTAAATGTTGAATTCAGTGTCAGGAAATGAAGATTTTTGGATCGAGCTGGTGAGCATGAAAATTCCTATAACTTAAAGAACTGGTAGCTTGAATCAAGTCTTGGAAAACACAGTACAAGCCGTCTCACATTCCTTGTGGGGAGCGTAGACTGGAGAAGCCATGCAGTGAGGGCAAGACCTAGAATTTAACCAGCATTTGCCTACTTCACCCTCCAAGCTGCGAGTTCGGCTAATGCGGTCTCCAGATTATAGGAATCTGATGAATTAAACTGTCATCTCCCAAGTTCAGGGTGAGGCATCCAAGTGCGTTGGATAGTGTGGGGAGAGGCTCTTAAGTGACACTGAATTACGAGTCACAATGATTTTTCAAGGCTAGGAAATGGTAGATCACTTACCCAGCCTGGGCAAGGTCCTGGCTTTGAGCCCTTGTACTTCCAAAAAAATGTGTTTTTCTTTTTAAATTCCTCTTATAGTCATCCTGATGGGTTAAGGAGAAAGTATCAATTAAACACTGACTAATCCTTTGTATATATGTGTGTATGTATGTATATATGTGTATATATATATATATGTATGTATGTGTGTATATATATATGTGTGTGTGTATGTATGAATGTATGTGTGTGTATGTATGTGTATGTGTGTATTTTATATATATGTATGTGTGTGTGTATAGGTATGTGTGTAGGTATATGTATATATGTATGTATATATATATGTATGTGTGTATATATGTATGTATGTGTGTATGTATATGTATTATGTATATGTGTGTATGTGTGTATAAGTGTGTGTATATATGTGTATGTATATATGTATGTATGTGTATTTGTGTATATATGTATGTATGTGCATATATGTGTGTGTGTTAGGCATGTGTACCTGTGATGGCACATGTAGGAGGTCAGAAGATAACTTCTGGGAGTTGTCTCTTTCCTACCTCAGTTCTGAGGTGAGTCTTGTTTCTGTTCTGTGATGCCAGGCTGACTCACTCTAAGCTTGTAACCAGTTCTCCTGGCTCCTTTCTCCTTGGAGTAGGAGTGCTGGGATTACAGTTGGGTACCACTGCAGCTGACATTTCACACGGTACACTGTGTGCAGGAGCTTTTACAAGCCATCACCCTGACCCCCATTTTATTAATTAATTAATTAATTAATTAATCTGTCTGTCTGTCTATTTGAAATAGATGTTTATATCCCAGGCTGGCTTCAGAACTACTATATAGTGGGGGGTGACTTTGAAGTTCTATTTTCTTGTCTCTACCTCCCAAGAGCTAAGATCACAGATTCCTACTGCCACACCTAGTACTGATTCCGAACCCAAGGCCTTGGGCCTGCTAGGCAAGCACTCTACCAATGGAATTGTAGCCTCAGCCCCACTCTTCTCTTGATCCGAGAACAGACAGGCTTGGAGTCTGGACAGGCAGAATGTAGATGAATTTTTGCTTCGGCCTGATGACTTCCGTCCTTTTTGTTTGCTTAGGGGACGTGGCAGTGGCTTTCCAGATGTGGCTCTGACGCATGGCTTCTTTGTAGACGTAGCTTAGAATAACAAAGTAGTTATTCTCTAAAGGTCCTATGGAGTAACCCACAGAATGTAGACAGTAGGTGTGTGTAGAGGATGCAGGGTCAGTCCTGAGGTTGAGAGTACATATCCGTGCTCTAAATGGTCTCCATTTGCCTTTTCAGTGACTTTGGCTTCAAGATGAATGAAGATCTCTCCTTAGAGGTTTGTGTACCAGACCCTGAGTTTTCTGGGAAGCCCTACAGCCCTCCTGTGCCTTGTCCTGTCGGTTCTTCATACAGGAGAACGAGAGGGTATGTATCTGTATCATACAGTTGGCTGAGTGAGGCTCACAAGGGCCTGCACATGGGGAAGGAGGGACTTACAAGAGCCACTCAACTCGGCCCACACCCTAAATTCTCGAACCCCAAGTTACAAGCCTGCAGGTGGTCAGACAGCTTTTTAAATTAACAGCATCTGCAATCTCCCATTCCCGGCGAGAGAAAAAAAGTCTGCAAGCTTTTCTGCAAGGCTGAGAACATCTGAAGAAGCCTCATCTGGGGAACATCTTCAGAGGAGTTTATAGGAGCGAGAGATTTTTAAGTGCTTCCCCAAGCAGTACATTAAACCACCTGGGTCGGCCTGCTCTAAATAATCACGAGTAAAACTGACACAGAGCAACTAAACATCACCCTTCCAGCTCTGCTGTCCATAGCCAGGAATATGTCCTCAACTGGGGTACCGTCATGACCCAGATGTACCCTCTCCATGTTTCTGACTTGTTGCTTTGGTGGGGGTGGGGTTTACAGCTATCGGAAGATTTCTGGGGATACTTGCAGCGGAGGAGATGTTGAAGCACGGCTGGAAGGGGAGCTGGTCCCCTGTCCCCTGGCAGGTAAGACAGATGGTCTCTTCCTTTTGCCTTCTTGAGTCCTGGTTGGGTCATTCTGGTCTTGCCCAGCTAGGCATGTGGATCTTCTTACTTAGTGGGGGTGAAGTCGGAAAGTTTAGGGATCGTGAAGGCTCCTCCTTCCCTAAGCTTAACAGGCACATGAAGCCTTTGTATAATTTCACATCCTGTGGGAATGTGAAATATTTGGTGGTAGGTCAGGTTTTGGAGGGTAGTCTATTTGGTATCTGTTGGGGGTTGAGGAGCATTCACAGACCTTGGTCTGTCTCTCGGTTTGTCAAAGTTGAGCGTAGAGAGACTAGGGCTCCTTCTAAACTAAGTGCTCTACCTCAGTTTTATAATAAATGTTAGTTTTGTTAGAATTGTATAGCCCTCAATTCACTAGCCTGTGTGTTGGGAGTTTAATTGTCTCTACATCCCAGTGATGCAGATACCATCGGCCCCATTAGAACATATTGTATTTGTGTCCTTATGAGGAAGCAAGAGGTTCAGGGGAAAAGAGGTCCCTAAAATCATGTATGTAGCAGTCGGCAGTGGTCAAACTCACATCTGAAGGTCCAGGATCCAGTGGTATCTGTCAGTCTTTTTCTCATACCTATTGATGGAGAAAACCTTCTTGGGAGAGATTATGCAAATATAACTATTTCAAAGACCTTTTAAGCTGTTTTGTGGTGATGTAATACAAGTTATTTGTAATGTAGGCACAAAATTGTGGTACCTTAAAAATGTGATTGTGCTAGGGACATGGCTCAGTGGACAAGAGCACTTTCTATGTAAGGATGAAGATCCAAGTTCCTACATTAAAGCAAGGCGTGATCACATGTGTGTCTGTATTCCTGGTGTGTGAGCAGCAGGTGTGCTGGGGCTTGCTGACGGCCAGCATAGCTCCAGGTTAGTGAGAACTCTCTGCCTTAAGGGAGTAAGGTTGAGAACAGTGGAGCAGGACATGTAATGTTCAGATGGCCACACATACACATGCAAATGAACAACACCCCCATGTACATACACACATCTCACACACACACATACCACACATGTATACATACACACACATACATGCACACATACACACCACATATACACACATGCACATACATACACACATACACATGCATACACACGTATCACACATACACACCACATCACACATACACACCCACTTGCACACATGTGCATACACACATACACACACATGCATACATGTACACATACACCACACACACATGTACACATGTACCCATACACCACACACATGCACACATGTATACATACACATGCACACAATAGACACACACAGCACCCCCCCCACACACCCCATACATACACCACACGTGATATATACGTACAATTATTCATACAAGTGCACATTCACACAATATACACACATACCTCACACCCCTACCACCATGCACACATCACACCATCCACACATACCACACCCCTTGTATACCACACACACACACACATATATGCACACACATGCAAATCCGCATGCATACATACACACATTCACCACCACACCATATACACATACCACACCACACATACATCATACACACATGTACATATGAATATGCACACATGTGCACATCCATGCACACATACACATACCACACATCATACTACACATGTATATATAAATATTGACACACACATACACATACCACACGTACAACACACACACGTACACACCCCACAAAAAAATTGGTTGTTGAGCCTCTTTTCTTCTTTCATCATTTCCAGGACTGGTTCAATCAGAGCTTCCTTCCTTCCTCTGAGGTTTCAGCATCCCA